ATCGATCATATGATATCTTTTTCGTATTTTTCTCGTATATTTTCTGTTAATATTGATGAATTCTCCTGAATTCACAAAACAAGCTAAATTTTGAAAAAACAGGAGGTAAGCAAAACACAAAAAATATGAAGAGTACAAAACTTTTTAGTTTGTTTGTAACGACATTAACCTTAGTTTAAGTCGCCAGAAACTTGGAATTTGAGTCATTCAGCAGAATTGATGACAAAAATAAAGGAAACACTGAATGAATTATTTTTTAGAGTATTCCGATAGCTATACAACAATCGTTAGGAAGATTAAATTGCAAGCAACAGTTTTAGTTAATCCCATACATCTTCTTTAAACCATGCTGAAAATCCATAATATGCATGCTTTTCTAACACAGAAAAATAGCTAGATATTTGGATTTTTATTATTACTGTTTAATGCATTTCAGAATAACTGCAAAAAACGAATAACAAATGTTTGTGTCAATAAAATCCTATCAAACGTTCATACAAATTCCAAAAAATAGAGACCATTATTGCATATTCACAAAACAGCCTTCTATTAGATGGAACGCTTTATTGATATAATGTCGGCTGAACAGACAAATAATAAATATAATTAACCGTTATGGCTTTAAAAAAATTTCTTTTAATCGAAAAGTTCAACGACAATAAAGCACATTTCTGCTGATTTATTTACAGCACAAACAAAATATATTTTAGCACGTGAAGTGTAAAAACGAAAGGTGCAAATTAGCTTTTTGTAGAATAAAATATTGAAACGCGTATATTGCCATGAGGGCAATGCCGTTCCAATTTTTCCCGTAATGGAAATTAGTCACGGTTTTCTCAATTATAGGTCAAACCTTCGTTGAAATTAACGACATGCTTCTTTGATTCGGTTTTTCATGTCGGAACCGCATGATATTTAATCAAAATCGTTAATCTTTCCATTAAAAAAACATTTTATGATATTTGTTGTACTTAGATTAGCGTGACTTAATCGGCCTATTTACAACATGTCCAAGAAAAACAGGCACCGGACATACCAGTACTTTGATATACTATTTATAATTAAATATGTATTTTAAGTTATTTGCTGAAGTTAATTGCTAAAGCCAAGAGAATGATTTGACCAAATACGAAACAAATAGTTTGGTTTAGCATCTTTTTGAGCAAAACATGATTAATGGGACGAAATTAGTGAAATTTAAAGTAATGAACAGATGTAATTTAATGCACTGTTCTCCTATTTCTCAGGATATGTACCTACTGAAAACGAACTAGTAATGATGAAGCAATCAGGAAAATAAATTGCATGAACCAGTTAAATTTTGAACGAAATATATATTTAAAATTTAAACATAGCAAATTTTAATGAAAACTGTAGAGCAAATGAGTGCAAAGTGAAGCAAGCTGATGAAGTCCACAATTAAAACAAGCAAAAGCAGGATAAACAAGAATTTAAATTAACTACACAAAACGAAATCAAAATTATTAATAAAAAACAATTTTTTTTGAGCAAAATACATTAAAGAACTAGTTAAATTTTTAAACGTGGTCTTTCTCCATCAGCAAGATAATTTTAACAAATATTTGTTGAGTTTTATTACGCTTGACTTGGTCATATATTTAATAATAATTTTAATTTTTTTATCGCACCCAAGAATTTTCTTTAGATGCCGTGGTGATGCTTAATGATTTCCAAATATATTTCTCTAACATATTTCCTACTAAATGGTGATTCAATTGAAAACTGAACTTTAATTCTTATATAAAATGTATAAACTTTAAAATTTCACTCAATTAGTGTTTTCCAATTTTTTGTCAATTTCACTCAATTGTCATGATTATGTTATTAATAATGACATGCAAGACTTCCAGACTTTACTCCATTAGATTTTTCGATATGAGCTTATCTCAAGTCTAAAGTTTTAAATTTTTTCAGGAACGCATTTTTAATAAATTTTACCAAACATCCCCCGAAATGCTACAGAAATACTGCTGAGAATTCACTGCCAGGAAGCATTTTCAACAGTTGATTTACCTGTGTTTAAGCGTTATTTTAGCAGTTTTAGTCTTCATGAAGAACTAAAATCTATTTTGTGATTGTAATACATGAGTTATATTTTGGACTTTTGAATTTTCCTTTTTAAAAACTTTATTTTTACAGATACAATATTTCCTTTAGCTCTGATTTCTCGGATTACTCTGACTAACTGTAATTATGCGCTTACCAAGTATATATAAGTTACAAAATGCAAGTTAGCTTAAATTATGATAGTCCGGGCAGTTTAGAGGTTTGAGCGTCACATAACTCATGTCATAACATCATACATAAAAGCACTCTGAAACACCTTAAATCTGATGTATCCAGACGACCACTCTTCCCATTTAAATTGAATTCAGAAAATTTTAGAGGTGGTTTATCTCCTGTCCAGGGGATGTCTGTTTTGTTTGAGATCGCACATCTTGTATGAAGCGACAATTGTTTTTAAGTTGACCTTTACTTTTTATGTAACCTTTAAAAATCCATAGCAAAAATTTAAAGCTGGCAGATATATTTGGAATGTTCAACAGATGGATATCAATAAATGGATTTGACTTAAACGAATTTTTAATACGAAAAATGTTGGTAGTCTAGTTTGGTTCTTCAGTGCCCAATTTCCTTGAACGTACGACTACAGAAATCTGATAAACTTTTTAGACTTTAAAAATTTATTTCTGTATAAAATTTTCAATCTAAATTTTATATAAATTTATAAGAAGTTCCCATTGGCGCTTGTAACAAAAATTATCTGTCTTCGCTTTGACGAGTTTGAGTTAAAGCTCCTGGTGAAAATTATAAATATAAAGTATACCCTACGTCCGTTTCTATTCTTAAAGTTTCTAATCACTTTATCATTAAAACTAAACTAAAAACATACTTTAGCAAAAACACAGAAATCTTTTTTGGAAGTTCGAAACCTCTTTCCGGAGGATTACCTGTTTCTGATTTCTGGTTCCTTATGGAATCGCTCTATATATTTATTTTTCCTTTCTATAACCATAGAATGTTTGATTACTCTCGTTTTTTCTGATTCTCTCTTGAGATAATTTCTTTTCAGGTCTCCTTGCATCCAAAACGTTTCTCAAATTTAATTTACATCTTAAAACAATTTAAAGAATACATTATCAATTTTTTATTTGTGAAAAAATTCAATGTGCATTAAAAGAATAAGTGTATAATGTTGCACTCAAAAAATTATAAATTTTAAATAGTTTTGCTGTAGAGCGCAAATCTAGATAGTAAAAAACTATTTTACTTCAGACTCCCAAACGCGTAATTAAAAATATATTTAAAAGTGGTAATTTTTTTTAATTGTTAAACTTAGTAGTAATTTGTGAAATGTAAATCTCTTGTTTAAAATTTCTAAAATAAACTTTATAAATTTAGTTTCCATCAGCGCTTGTGACAAAACTGTCCAATCTTTACTGTGACCAGTTTAAGTTAAAGCTCCTTGCAAAATTTGCTTACGTATTGCTTAAAAAAAAACTCCTTTCCTACTTTCTTATCTGTTCACAAACTTTGTAATCTATTTGTTTTCGAAAATCTCAATTTATTTTATTATATTGACTTTCTGGTAATAAAAATACTTTTTTTAGACTACGTAATTCCTTTTGGAAGTTATTTTTTTCAGTGGCTTTGCAATGCTGGAGCCGCCACTACCAAGCTGTATATTAATTAGTGATACTGTTATTCTATATCAAATTGCGCTCTTTATTTATTATTTTTCTTTTTTATATCACGCTTCTCTTAAAATGTTTGTGCTGCTCTGATTTTTCTTATTCCTCTATGAGGCACTTAATTTTTTGTGCTCTTTGTGTCCAAAGAGTTTCCGAGGTTTATTTGAAAGAAATTCTTATTAAATAAATCGAGATCCTTTTTTTAGTTGCATCGATTTTACTTGAGACTTTCTAGTGTGTAGGTTTCAATCAACAATTATTTCTAAAATATGCAAAAATATATTGCAAATTGGTAAAACTTAAAATTTTTTTACTTAAAAAGTGCAAAATAAAAGATATTGGCAACCGATCTACGTGGTCTAGAAAAAAATATAAATTGCTAAGATTTGGGAAAATTCTTCATTGCTTAAATACGAGATAAATAACGCTCAAGATAAATCAAATCAAAATAAATAAGTACCTTTGAAACCAGAGCAGATATTTACTACAAATTTACTTACAAATGACTACACTAAATATTTACAGAAAGCACTCTGCATACTTGTTAAGAATACTTAATTTCCTAAAAATTTGAAAGCCAAGTTTTCTAAATTTTCTAGAAATACTGAAAAAATTATCAACATTTATTTACTCTATTTTAAGAAGTTATAAGGAATATTTGTCTGTTTATACGTTTTAGCCTTGAAGACGGACATAAAATGTCTGAAAGCTTACGGGCAAACTGAGATTTTTCGCTTGTAATTTTTCTCTATTTACTAATTGAATTGTTGCCTTTCAGAAACATTTTCACTAGTGTTCCATTCTCATGTTTCTTCTATATACATGTTTTCTGGTCATTACTGTAACACTTCTGATAAATAATAAACTCATTATGCTGTTGTCTGTTAAATGTTGGTTAATTAAAGATTGGTTGGCGTAACAGTGAACACTTCTGAGATTTACCAGGTCAAAAAACTTAAAGACGCGATCCTAAAAGTAAAATGATTTATTTGAAGACGATGTTGCGAATTTACCGCTAATTGGAATTAACTCTTCTGCTTAAAAATTGTATGTATCGCGTATAATATTTTAAATAAATATATATATATAACTCTGTAAATCACACACCCTTTATAAAGACGTTTTTGCAACTATAATAGATCGATATTGTTACGTTTACTCGGCTTGCAAAGCGCAGACTAAAATTCGCTGATAAAGATTTAGCGGTTAATGGCAAATTTGCTCTCACCAAGCAAGACTGGCCATTTTTTTTGTCGATTAAACCCCTGCCCCCACAACCAAATACAAGAACGTCTATACCAAAAGTTGGTAGAAATGGTTTGGGTCAATTACCACCAAGATAGTGCACATTATGGGTGTTTCTGATTATATGTTTATGTGTTTGCTGAGCGCATTGCCTGGTAGGTTTTTTACATTTTTGACATTTCCTACTTTCACTTATCGCTAACATAAATTTATCGACAATCTCGTTTAGGCAATTTTTCGTTTCATTAATTAGCATTTAGTGAAAATTGTCGTGGTGTGAATGGCCAAAAATGTCAAATGTTTGTGAGTGGCCATTTATCTAAAACGGCATGTAGGAAATAGTATATTAATGAAAGAAGATGTTTGTTTGCAACTTGGAATTATTTTGATTTTATGCATACTTTTTTATTATTTTTTATTTTATATTTTTTTATTATTGAGGTTGATTGATTGTTGAAGCTGTTAATACTTCCTTGCTTAAGTGGGCTCCATTTTTGCGTCATTAGGAGTTAGAAAGAAACAAACAGGTTTGATTTTTGTTAGTGTCCTAATTACGAAAGTTTTTATTATTTTATACTAACTACTTTTCAAGTTGCAGAAGCAAATGGGTTGTTTGCTTTATTCCTTTTTATGTGAATACCAGTTTTTATTTCACGCGGCTTTTCTGAGGCTGGTCTTGAGGTAAGGTGGATTTATTATCCTAATGCGTATTATCTTTTAAAATTGTTCCTTTTTTCTGGTAGAATTTAGGCCTCAAAAAATTCACAGCAGCAAGAAATGCTTTTGAAAATTTAAGCATCGTTCATTTAACTGTAGTCACTTTATTATTATGTTACAAAAATTATTTTACACGAATATTGTATAGTCATAAAACATAACGAAACAGTCTTTCCACTATACAGGGTGTCGCACGGCCAGCGTCCACCAGAATATTTCAGGAAGTAATGCGATTTGAATCCAGCAAACTGTTTTTTTAAAACAACGCTGTTTTCAGATGAAATAGCAGAGGCATGATGATGAAACACCCAAAAGCCTGTGTGTTTTAGTGTGGGAGCTGCGAAAAGATGAGAGAAGTAAGCGGGCGTAATTGATAAATTGACCATCAATTTTGTGAGTCACATTTACAAAGCAATAGGTTACAATCAGGTTTCGGATGGATTTTTCTAAAACTTTCTAAGTCTATAGGATCAAATGGCTACTAACGATGGCAAAGCATGCAACCTGCTTTAGTCTGGGAGATATGCATTTTTAAGTAAGCGAACGCGTCATTGTTTTTTAAAAAAATTGAGTTTACGACTTGCGTACAATTTTCAATAAAATATTTCGATTTTCTTCTCGAAAAATGCATTGTGAGCACTCAAGTCCATCTAAAGTTTGCCTAAAGTATAACAATTCTCAATATTTTCCATCTGGCGTTTACATAAGTGTGAAAATTCAAAATATTTTTGGCTTAAAAATTGGATATCCGGCCTTCAAACCCTTATAACTTTCCAGTTTTCTAACCGTCATTTTTAGAGAACATCAACGCAGTTTTATTTTGTTTAAAATCCAAAAACTTTGAAAAATTTAATTTTTACAGTTAGGTAAAGTTTTTCGAAAAACTAACGGAAAATTGAAGAAATTTAAAATCTGTTAAAAATTAAAACTGAATGTAGCATTCTTTGAATAAAAAAGAAATACGCTAGAAAAAACGGAAACGGATAGAGTAGGGTAGAAAAACCTTTCATTAAAGTCAAAAGCAAAAACATTATACAGGGTGATACATTTAAAATAAGGAAGTTTGAAACAGTTTCCGGTATAGCCGGTAGTCGTACAATGGCGCTGTTATTTCATCTAAAAAGAACGTCACCGAAATTAACATTATCCAAATTTCAGGATTCAAATCGCATTACTTCCCAAAATATTCGAACGGACGCTGACTCTGAGACACGCTGTATAGTTTTTCTGTCCGTGAAACCAGCTAATTAGAAAATAAATTATCCACTGATTACATTTATTTTCAGCAGGCATTCGTTAAGCGAAGCTTTAAACAAAAGAAAATTCTCATCAGCCTGTTGTCTATAAATAAAAATTGCAATATTTCACACTTACGCTCCAATAGTTATTGTGCTCCAATTTCCCATTGCATCCATATGGGAAGGTGTGCCAATAATAGTACCTACCCTACTTCCTTGAATACGATTAACATTTCATTTTATAATTTACACACTTTAATAATGGGCTTATCCGATCTTTGCTAATATTCACAAACATTATTGAAACATTCATACTTATTGTTATGCGACCTTTTGATAACGATCAGATACCGTTCATGTCACTGAAAATGTATTATTCTAATAGGAGGACTATTACACTTTGTAAGTACTATTTAAGAGAACATGTTGAAAATTAGATAAAGCGTTATGAAAACTTGCTTAATAAAAGGGGCAATAAAATTATGCAAATAAGAAGAAATCGTCTTCATTTTTCATGATCATTAAAATCATATTACTTCTGCTATTCATTTAAAAAAATTTAGATTTTTAAAAAACATAAAATCTTAGTGGAAAATTGCATTAACTCGAGAAAGATCCTAAAGCGACCGAGGCAATGATGTAAGACATGTGCGTGCAAATCAGATGAAAGATATCAAGGAAAAGATATTAAATCGCATAATGCTGACTGTGTGAAGTTAATCTCGGACAAATTATTATTATTCATCAAATTCCCATTAATATTAGTTACCGCATCGAAAGAATGTGTTAATTTTTAGCATCCTTCATTAGAATCGGCGACTAATGTGTCAAATAATTGATATAAGCTGAGCATAAAGTTGAGAAAGTAAAAGTTCGAGCTCGTTAAATAACCGCAATAATTACTTAATGTAAATTAGTCAACAATTATTTAATCAGCCGTCGTTTCTTCAAACACTTCCAGCTTTTTGTGGGTCGTGTTAAAAAACTTCTATGGACTTTTTAAAATATATTCAACAACAACAGATTACTGTAAAATCTAGGTTACTCATTTTATATCTCACTTAAGCAGACTTGCTAAAAATTCCAAAATGATCCGGTAATTGTGAGGCTAATTGTATGTAATTATAATTGCAGGCCCACCTAGTATATCATTAGATAATGCCAACTTGCAGCTTTATCCAATAAACAAAAATAAATGCCACCATATTGACCCGGTCCGAGATATATCTTTTCAGCTATTTACCAGGTATGTATAGAAATGTGGTTGCTCGGTACTTGTTCATAAAATTCTTAAAGAAACAGGTTGAAAGTAATACAGGAATTTTTATTGTTAGTGCATTACAACACTCAATCAGTCTGCAATGAATTCGTGTGATTAGATTTATGGATAAAAGGCAAATTATATCTAAAAGCAATTGCAAATTTTGCTTTTTTATGTTCACATTCGAACTGATGGAATGTACTTTTTATACCGGCTGATATAAAAGTAGAAGTATAATTTAAGTCTATTTTGGAAATGAAAGTCCTGCAATACATGCTGAAAAATCGTGAAAAATCTGAACGGTTCGAGTCGTGAATCGTGAACGACAGATTGAAGAAAAGTAGGACATGAGGGCCTGTGCTTAAGCGGTTCATGTCCAAACAGAAAAGACACCGTTACGGAAAAGTTAAGTTCTTTTAAAAATGATGGGCTTGATTTGAAGGTTCAGTAGCGCAGCTAAAGAGAGATTGAAACCAATTTAGTGGACAGATAATTTTTTTAAAGGGGGATTTAATTCATTTTTCATCAAATTAATGCAAAACGTCGATATAATAAAGCAAAAAATGTTCAAGCTCTGTAAACCTAGAAGATAACATTATATGGCAAATTCCAAAAATTAACTCTAGACAAAGACCAGATGAAGCTGAAGGCCCGCCACCAAAAAGATGGATATACAAATATAGCGCAGAAGCACGGTTTCAGCGACAGAAGAATAAGAAAGCGGAAGAAAAAGAAAGCTGCTTTAAGGAAGAAGTAAAAGAAACAGCCAGGTTTAACGTGCCCGCCTCACAACCGTTTTTTCGTAGCTCTGAAGAGTTGGTAGATGAAGAAAGCCAATTTTTTGCCAAAGCGCTTTTAAGATGCTTTATCAACGAAGAATAACAAGTAGATAAATTTCAAAGACACGACACTTTAATATTGGACACCTCTTTAACAAAGTATTCCATGCAATAAATGCTTAAAATAAACTGCTCAACGAATAAACGTTAAGTCAAATTTGCCCTAAGTTTGAAACTGGATAAGTTCTGAATGCTTTAGGTGCTGTGCCTATTTAACGCCTTATTTAGTCGAATTCTTTCTCTGTTAATCCGTGTTGTTGCATAGAATTACATGTTATACATAAACCTGCTGCAGGGTGGCAGATGAAACAATTCAAATATTCTCAAAATTCGGCGTGCTTCTAGTGGAACAAAAAACCGTTGTAAAAAATTTTTAAAACGGTTTTGTAATTCTTCGCCTACTTTTATGTACAACGTGATGTTAAAAAGTCTACATTTTGTTCTTACAGTGACAAGTAATAAGATTTTGCCTCTTGATCCGTTTTTTTCAAAATCAAGCTCATGCTGAAACTAAAACTTCATCGTCAACTTAAGACAAAAATTTTACATATTCAGGGTTGCATAAACGAAATATTTTTTTGAAAGGAAATTCTACTTTTATTGTTTTCCAAGCTCTCAGACCTCAGCGACAGTTTTGATTTGGGTCACTTGTATTTTAAATATTTATCTTAAGTCGACTATGAAATTGCCATGAACTGAAAAAAAATTTTGAGACTACTGTAAATAAAAGAAACGAAAAATTAAAAAACCGTTTCGAGATATAAAGGTTGAGTTTATGTCATTGATGTTGAAATCTACAAAGACACTTTTCTGTTCCCCTGGGTGAAATTTTACATTGTTTTTCTAATTTTGTAAAAAGGATAAAAAACAAATTTGATAAAAATCAAAATCGCTCGTACCAATGCAAAACCGTCAGGTTTTTAGCTCGTCTTTTGATTTTTCACGATTTAGGAGATACTACAAATTGGTCAAGTACAATTTATCACATTTAATGTAAGATGATTTTTAATTTTTTTATTGCGACTCTACATTCAATTGTCCTACTCAATAAAAAAGTGCTGGTTCTGTTCCTAACTAATCTTCACCAAAAAGAGCTACATTTTTACAACTTGAACGAACATCTTGTTCTTTTCCTAATTTTGATGTGCAATTGAAAATAATCATTTATCCAATATGAAAAATTCCACATAATGCGATGTTAATAATTACGGCGCAAATTGAATTAGTATCATGTCATGTTTGATTTATTATTTCTTTTATTACATGCAAATTAAAGCGTAATTGATATGTGACAGTAAGTAACACCGTGTTAGTTTGGTGCCAATCAATGCAGGCCAATTAAGGTTCTTAGTCACCTTAAATACTCTAAAAAAATTATATTTAACATGTCAAGCAAAAGCAATTCAGCATTTACGGATATTATGGGGCCATTTACTGCAATTTAAGTAAGCTGCTCATGATTTCGCACCTTATTCAGACATTTAAATGATTTAGTTTAATTTATGGCAGACATTACGACCGTATTTCTATGAAAAACACATATGTATACGATAATTGAGAGAGAAATCTCATTAAAAGATGCATTTACCGGACGATTAAATTAAATGTCTTTAGGTTTATGAATTTTAAAGTAAATTGCATTAATTCTACGTCTTCTTGTTTGGCAAATAAAAGCTTTTCAAATTTTCCACTTTGATTAGTTGACGCATTTTTAATAATCAATATAAATTTGGATTAGTCGATTACTTAACCGAGACTTAAGAAGTACAATCACTCCTAATTAACTTTAGCCAAAAAGACAACAAAAGATGTTGAACAGAACTCTGAAAAGTTCTCTTAAAATTAATATTGTTTTAAAATTTTAAATGCAAAATTATACAAAAAATAGAATGCAAAATATAACATTTCTTTAAGCATTCAGTCGTGTTAATTTCAGCATTAAAATTGTCATTTCATGCAAAAAAAAACGTTTTGAGTTTATATCTGAACACGAATATCCAATAACAGATTTATTAATCAAAAATTGTGAAACATAGCAAGACAAATTTTTAAATCGATTCTAATAGTTATATTGTGTATATCAATCTTTAGTCCTTCATTCTTATTTTCTTCAATATTTTCGGTTCAAAAATTTACCAAGAGAAGTCATACCTGACTGGCACTGTTTAACGTAAATTAAATTATTTTTGTACTTATTTTTAGACATAATCCATTAATGCCCACACCTCTCCGGATAGGAGACGATGAAGCCCTGGAGAATTCGCATTTCAACTTCTCCGAACCTACAATTTTCTTCTTCCACGCATTCTTTGAATCATATCAACTTATTCCGGCTACCTACATTAGAACAGGTAAATTTGTGTCATTTTATATTTGATCAGCGTGTTATTAGAATTTGCCAAAGCTTAAAATCTTTGAGAAGTTTCTCATAAGAGAAAACTTAAGCAAATTGAAAACGAATGTATTCCTTAAACAGTTTCAAACTAATTAAATGATAACAATTAGGAAATCAATGACATTTTAAGATTATGCACATAATTGCACCGATCTGCTACGGTTTTCTATGTCAAGAACGGTCAATGTCGAGCAACTTTCACCATCCGCAGCCAATAACTGCAACAGATGCAATTGTGGGTTTCAGACCACTGAACTGTGCTATTTACATTTACATGGTACGGGTATGATGAAGTTTGTTGGAGAGGTCAGTATGGTACTACCTTCCGTTTTCATTTCTCAATGATTTCACGTAAAAAACTCGATTGAAATATGTGCATGCCTCGCGCTAATGAATGTGGTTTGAGTGTGGAAACAATAAGCAAAATAATAAGTTTTACTGACTGCACCTGGAAAATATGAATGAGCCTTTGGTAAAGCAAATTTCATAGGGTTGAAGAAGGTTTACTTGAGTAAAAAATTCCAATTTTCTCATGGTGCATTGAGTTGCATCATAAACCGGGTAACTTCGAACACATTTTCAAAAGTTCAGAACCCATTGTGAACATTAAAGCGCCTAACTAATAAGCGCACAGTTTAAAACATATCAATTACAAACTCGACTAAATTTGAAAGTAATGTAATTTCCATGTCAGGTATTACGCCACATCTTAAAAATGTAAAATGATTAGTTAATTATTCAGTAAAAGTAGGGTGGTTAGCACAAAAGTATTTCTCAGGCAAAAGTGAGTTAACAAACTAGATTAATTCTTTTCACTGCAAGCATATGTGGCACAAAGAATTCTCATTGATATTACGCACAGTAATTGTAACGGATGTCAATTTATATGAATGATTTGGTATCAATTGTATTTTTTTGATTTTTTTGGGCTTAAAAGCGACCAATGATATATTAGATGCTTCCGTATGAATAGATAAGTAACTCTTAATACGGGCCCGAATTGGATCAAAAGCGAGTGATTTTGTCTAAAAACAGAATTTTGCAAAATTGAAATCGGTTATGAATCTTGAAAGTCATAGGAATGTGAAGGTCGAAATGAGGATAATTTTTCAAAGCAAATGTTACCCAGCAATGTTTTCATTGTGGATTTAAGGTTGCAATTTTTTGGAAAAACAGCTTTTTGTATGTAGAAAGTTTGTGCATAACTGTAAATATCGGGCCGATTCGTAAAATTATGGAAAAAAGTAGAATTTTCTATAAAAAATGCATCTCCGAAAATTGCAATCAGTTGAAAAACTTGGAAGTTATGATGATTTACAGATCGAAAAGACGATTTTCCGAACAAAATACTTCAAATTTTCACCTCGATTAACTCATTTTCAAAATAAAACATCAGATTGCTTGGAAAGTCTATTGTTGGCACATTCCACTGTTTATAAGAAAATTTGCATTGGCAATAGTTTGGAAGGAAATGGGCTCTGAATATTGGGAAGCCTAAAACTCTCAAATTTGTACATACACTCTTTACCCTGTAACTCAGTCAGTTATCAACATTTTTCAGAAATTTAAAAACTCTTAAAATGCCCATAGACTTGGCGTAAAAAGTTGTTTCAGAGTGGAAGTGGGTTTAGATTTTCAAACATCTGAAGCCGCTAGTTGTTCCTGGAAACACGCTCTTTTGCTACAAGTTTTGCGGCGCACCAAGCTTTTTTCAACTCTAGAATGTATTTTTAGGAGAACCTCAATGGCTTTCAAAAAAAATTAAAACCTTAAAAATTATATTTTTTTAATATTCCCCTTTTAATTAACATGGTTTTCGTATATAGCTTCTGCTAAAATCGAATTTAAAAAGAAAGAAAAGTTAAAGAGACTTGAACGGCCATTCACTCTCTTTCGCACTTATTTGCCCATAACTCCGCAACAGTTGGCAATATTTCCGAAAGAAAAATGCCCTGAGTTGTCACATGTATTCGCCAGAATCTGGTTGTCCTGAAAAAATCGACATTTCAAACGGTTTGGGAGATAAGGAACCCTGAATGTTGGCAATCGTTCGTTCGACTGTACCATTTGCTTATAACTCCACTCTTTTGCCCGTAACTTCGTTAAATGTCAATATATTTCGAAAGTTTCAAAATGCCCGAAGAACTAGCTGTAAAAACAATTTCAGCTTTCAAATTGGATAGCGGCAACAGAAAGGGAGTAAAACGAGTTCGAACTCACAGAGTGTGAAACTTCTTGCGAAAAAATATTTGAGAAATTCATTTTAGTTGAAAAAGTCGACATTTATGAATACTTTATTGACGAACAGACCATTTTCCAAGCAAATTATTCTCACTCAAAAATGTCCAGTGCATTTAAGGCCGAGTACCCGAATTTTTGAAAGAATATATATTTTTTTGCCTACAGAGGTCTTTTTTTTAAATTGTGGTGTCCTCTCTTAGTATCTTTCTTTGTGCGTACATGATAAATAAAGTAATATTTAATTGCAGCTGAATGTCTCAAAGGAGCATCATCTCCACATTCAATCGAATAATGTTGTTTGTTAGAGTGGGCCGTTAGCTCTAAAGTTCCTTTCTTTCATCACTCAGGCATGCTCTTAGCGTGGTGACAATATTCAAATTATAATTAAAATATTTACATATTTAATTCTGTTGAGAAAAATCGGTGAGAATTAAGCTCAAAATCCGTATTCAACAGTATTTTTTGCGTTTATTTTTCCATTGCTGCCTCAGGATGATGCGGAACCTTTTATTTTGGTGTCCATAAGAAATCGATGTTATTAGTGAATTGAAGCACTTGAGAAAGTTTCCTAGTTTATGCAAAGAAAAGTCTAGAGCATACAAAAAGAAGTGCGCTATAATTTCGAAAAAGCCGTTATAAACTTGAGTGCATAGTGACTTTAACCAAATTTTTTCAAATCATCAAAATTCATCAGATGAAAAAAAGAAATATGCTGTTTGAAAGACAATTTAATATGCTTTAATTGTATATACTTCCCAAATCAAATACATTCCTGGGTTTCAGTCATTTATTGTCTCTATTTATCAATCAAAGTACGTTTCGGTGTATTTTTCCAACATCATCAGTTTTTCTAAAATAACAGGTAGTTAAAAAAAATTGTCATTAATTTAAAAAACAACCACAGTTTGCCAACAGCCTCATCATATCACACATTAAAATACATGACAATTGCAATACTTTAAAACATTCTAAAATTAATTAGGCCTAACAGGTGATTAGTCAGGACAATCAAATTTGGGAAGAGACTAGAATTATTCGTTCAGATACTTAAATATTTTTACTTATATGTGTAGCGTTGTTGCTGCTTTAAGCCTTGGCATGAATTTGGAGTATTAATTTTGTCCATTATCGGACACAAAGCGAATAAAATACTGTTTATATTGATTTCTTTTACTTTCAGCTATTTTTCTTTGCATTCTGAGGATATTATTTTTGGCTTGCAAAATTCTTCAATATACCGGGTGTTAGTTAATATTTTATGTTTATTTCATTTAATTAATGTATGATATACTGAGCTACGATTGACGGTATCCGATCTGAAATTTATAGCATTGTTATGTTTTTTAATCTGTATCATTTCATGGACTCTTCTCTTATTATAATTACTCTCGTTAATCAGTATTTTTGTGGTATCAAAATCAAAATTATGCAACATCTGTTGTGCATGCTGTGCTAATGGTGTACCATTTTCGTTATTTTTTCTTAGGCTATGTTCGTATATTCTTTTCTTTAGATATTGTCCTGTTTGACCTATGTATGTGTTATCACAATTCAAACCGTCTATTTTGTAAATTACATTAGGCGTGTCTAACTTGTTAATCCTAGGTTTCAATTTTGTGAAACATTCATTTGCTAAGGTGTTTTTAGTTTTTTCTGCTATGTTGATATTATGTGGTTTGAATATATTTTTTATTTTTGTGTTAATTTCCGGAATATATGGTAATTATATATACTTGATCACCTTCTATTATTTTATTTATGTTTTTGCATATCAAAATGATTCTTGATCTGGACCACTTACAGTCGGAAGGGCGCTGGAGGGCAGAAAATCTGAAATATATCGGACGGGTCCTGGCCGCTGAAATTCCTTAGCACGAATCGTTTGGCAAAAATAAATTCTTTAGAGTGTGAATTTTGGCAGAAAACATACCAATATCTAAATAAGTAGTCCAGTATCACTTGCAGCCTCTTAGTATCCGCGACACCATCACAAAGCAATAAACAAGTCTGGATTCTGGATTCTGCGGATCTTAACATTTGAAAACAGCAAAACAATTGTTTTACAAGAGAAAAACACTAGTGTTGATATCTTGATGTTGAAGACTATCTAAGCAGATTCAATTTGTAGTTTCAAAAGTTTAATTTAAAAAGTTAATACTGCGGAAAACCTGACTGAGTGATGTGGAAAACTGAGTGAAAATATCCTTCATGGGTTACAAGAACTCTTAAATTTCGGGTTTAATTCACCGAAGCAAGAGTTCCTAATTATCTGGTTTAATTCCATCTGGATTTCGATAATGAAAACGTTAAACTAACCATAAATCCCTCTACTAACACTTTCTTAATTAATTTCTTCCGGAAATGTTTTTTTCAACCACTTCTAAGTTCGAAAATTTTTCCTTGTATTGCTTAAGATAGCTGATTTAAATTATTTAAAAAGTATCAACGGATATCCAAAAAGTTTTGTTCATACATCAACATTTCAATACATGTGACCACAATGCAAATTAGGAAACAGTACGAAACGCAATGGAGTCATGCCAGAGATAAGTTCTTCTATCTTGTCTCTGCATATGCTTTCTAATGGTAGAATGGTGAGCTTCCCACCATCGAAAAGTTGTGGTAGAAGGCATTTCTGCCAAAAAACGCCACTAACTATTAGTATCATAACTCTTCTTGAAATTCAGAAGGGCAAAACATAATAATTAACACAAATAATGACCTTTGATGGCAATGTAAAGCGTATTTCACAACAGAACGACTTTAATTTAACATTTAGTGTTTTAAATTTAAAAGTTTAGACAATAACATTACACTTTGGAAGTCCTGGCCAGCCAATTTTTAAAAATTAACTGAAAACGATTTTTAATTAGAAAAATCGAATTGAGAAAAATTGCAGAACAGTTTAATTTAGGATCTAATTTAAAGAAGAAAAAACCTGCAAATGACGCAAATTACCTGTCAAGACAATAAAAAGTATAGTCCACCACAGAAAGTTAATAGATAAGTTCTATATTGGTGAGGCGGATTCATTTTTTCACAAACTGTTTGTTGGGTATTTCGAATCAAAAATGTTTGCCTGTAAAAAAAGACAGAATTTTCTCAAGTTTTTTTATCACAGATTGATAAATAGTGCTCTTATTTGCAATAAGAACGAATTATTTATCAAAAAATAATCAAGAACTATCACCTAGAGGGTATCCTGCGACACACTTAGGCTCAAGCTGAGTGTTTTTTAATTCATACATTTTTTTACATTCTAAATTAAACTGTTCTGGAATTCTTAATTCGATTTTTCAAATTAAAAATCATTTTCACTTATTTTTCAAAAATTGAATTGCCAGGTTTTCTAAAGTGTACTGTTATTGTCTAAACTTTTAAATTTGAAACGCTGTAAAAACTCAGCTTGAGCCTAAGTGTGTCGCAGGATACCCTCTAGGGGATAGTTCTTGATTATTTTTTGATAAATATATATATATAAATAATCTTTATTTCCTACAGAAAAATTGTATCGTCCCAATCGGCCTTTCTGCCCTTTTGATAAATAATTCGTTCTTATTGCAAAATAAGAGCACTATTTATCAATCTGTAATAAAAGATCACGTCTTTGTCAAACAGCAAAATTAATTTCAAATACATTGTTTTAAGGGGCCTTAAAAGGACCTAGAATCTATCAGATTAAAAACTTATCAAATTATACGAAGGAATTTAAAAGATATTTATTATAAACCGAATTTAGCGACCTAAAATTTTCAAAGAAGTTCATCATGTTCTTTTGACCCCCTGTATACGTTTCTAAAGACATGCCCACATTTTCCCGGACCGCTTGTGTAACATTACATACTTCAAATATACATTTTATTGTATTAAGCAAGCAAAATTTTACATTTTGTAAATATGTTTCGAAAGAGATCGGTTAAACCTGTACCTCATTTTACCACCTTAATTTAAAAAAGATGAAAAATTGATTATGTCCAAGATTCACCATGAGGATCTAAACGGACGTCTTATACGAATTATTTCGAATTTCTCGGCAGATGCACTGGAGATTCGTTTTGGAAATATTTAATTTTCCAGCTTATACACAACGAGGAGATCACAATATCATCCTACTGAATGCACCTCGTTTGGAGGCAGGTCCTTGGTACTTGACTGCAGCACAAAACACCCGAGTTGTTGGAGAATACACTGCAGAATTCATCGATTATCTAGTTTCCAAAGGACTTTACTTGCCCAGTTTGCATCTAGCCGGATTGAGCTTAGGTGCCCAAATGGCTGGTGTTTGTGGACGAAATGTAAAGAGCGGAAGAATAAGAAGAATAACTGGTAAATAAATTAAAATAATAAATAACTATCTCAAGGTACATTTCAATATTAGAATAAAGCTCTGTGTGCTTTACGGGGCGTTTATATTTCCTGCGATTTGCTCGGCCACAAGATACATTTTAGACAATTTCCAATCGAAAATATTTGAGAAAATATTTCCTTTGTTCTATCTGAACACAAACCTAAAAAATAATTACTGAATGCAAGTACTTATTTCTAACGACTTTCTAACTTCTATGTAATTTATTCTATTAAATGCATAAGCTTTTAACGAACTATCTAAAGCGCAATAAAGTAATGTTACCTGTCGCAGTTATAATCATAATTACTGTGCATTATTTTACTGTCGATAAGCACTTTCAACCTATTATTTCTGCCAATAAATGTTTTTTCCAAACATACGTCTTAAAAGCCCCCAAAACTCACCAGTTTGAAACAATTGGCTCAAACGCTCCACTCTTTTGCGCACAACTTTAGTAACATAAAGTTCTACAAATAACCAAAAGCTGTAAAAAATACATCAATATCCGATGGCTTATTTATAATTAATTATTCATCCAAACATATTTTTGAACTTTCCTCTCCAATACTTTAAGCCGATCATTTTTGTGGCACTCTGGCTTAACCCTATGGATCGAAAAAACTTACATTTGCATTTTTTAACCAGAGTAAAAGTGTGCTTATGGAAACTTTGGCCCTTTTAGGCTGCCTTAACCTCCCCCTGAGCCTAATGTAGATTTTTGTTTTACTGAAGTTGGTTCAAATGATACAAAAACGAGTGTTAAATGTCTGATTTTTATATGATATAGTAAATTTTATGGATATTTTTAAACGCATGAGGATGGTGGTTTATGAAGTCGAATCCTTTTTCAACATTTGCTTTTCAATAGCTTTTCTTCTTCGTGCACGAAAATAAACAGTTTCTTTAGATTATTTACTTAACCTTTTGTTTCAGTGTTTCAGGGCAATTTTTGCTCACAGCAGCCGAAAAATTCTGCCAGCAAATACAAACATTTTAATTAAAGATTTGTTTTCTCAAACTTGCCTCAAAGTTATAACCTTCAGACTGTTTTCCGTTCATTGTTTTTCAACAGCGTGCTTATGCATATTGAAATACTCATTAAAAATTGTTTTTGGGGGGTTTTATTAAATGTTATTTATAATTCGTTTTTTGCTATGTGCAAGTTTATTAAGTCAGTCAGTCAGAACCATTTGAATAACTATTTGAGTAGCTTTAGAAAAGAGCTTTTATCAATAAAATATCAAATTTGCTGGGTGTTTTTCGACATCATCAACATTACCACTGTACTTGGTTCCAGATGGTTAAAATTTCAGTCTGTAGTGCTTTTAGCCTTTTCAGTTTAACTCATACTTGATATGCGCTTGAGATTTACGTTCGCTAGTCTACTTCTTGAGAATGACTAGGATACAAAATATTAATTTTTCTTTTTGTCCACAATTGCTTTGGTTTCTTGTCTTCTGGTTGTATCTGAGAAGTATATAAAAAGAAATAACAGTACTTTTCTGTAATTTGTTAGAGGAAATTAAAGCAATATGAATGTTTATAGATAATTCACTAGTAAAGTTGCAATTTTGACTTGAAGACAATTTACAATTGAATTTATTTTACAGCTCAAACAATTTTAAGAATGTAATTTGTTTAAACACTGGGTACGTATTTGTAAAAAAATGATTTAATTACAATGTTTTTCTTTAGCGAAACGTTTTTGGACAAAACGGCAAATTTATTTTGCAAAGGAGAATCAACCATCAACACTAAATTTCCCATAAAAATCCGAAGAAACAATAAAAGTCCCACTTATTTAGACTTCTAAAACAATTAAAATTCTGAAACAAGAGTTTTATTTTTTAACAACCTTCTTTTTGGGTATTTCGCCTCAAAAATTTTTGTCTTTAAAAAAGACAGAATTTCCTCACGTCTTTTATTACAGATTGATAAATAGTGC